GCCCCCGCCTGAGTGCTCAGCGCCGGAGAATATGGCGGCTGTGCCTGAGCCCCGCCTCTCTTCCCCTGAAAAGTTTCCGCGGGTTTTCAGAGATGGGGGTATGCACCCTTCCCCCCAGAGCACATCAAGCTTGCTGTTTCATGGAGGGCCCAGGTTGTTCTGCCCTGTGCACCCACTGCCACGGCACCCAGCCCCTTGCTGTCCCCCGGGGCTGCCTCCGTGCAGCCGCCCCCGTCCTACACCCGGCTTGTGCAGCCTGGCCCTGCCTGCTGCTGCCGGCCCGCGTCTCAGGCTGGGTGTCGGGGGGACGCTCTGTGCCCGTTTAACTTAGTTCTGTCAGACAAGGGCTGCTCTGTACAGATCCGAGCCTTGGAGGCTCCCCCTCCGTCCCGCTGGCCTCTCAGTTGGAGTGGGGAGACCCAGCAAGCAAGCGCCAGTCCTCCTTTGCCGCTCCCTCCCTGCGGGACCCGTCCCGCGCTGCTTTGCCTTTTGTTCTTTCTTTTATCCTTTTCTCCTACCAGATTTTTGGCGTCTTTATCTTTTGAAGAGGGCGATGTTCTGTCGGAGTTCCGCAGGTGCTCTGGTTGGCTGAGTGGGTCTGTAGATGTGGGTCTTGGTGTATTTGTGGGAGAGGGTGACTTACAAGCGTCCTTCTATTCTGCCATCTTGCCTCTTCCCCTGGCTTTTGTTTTAAGGACAGGCAGATACATCTTCTGAGTCTTCACATAAGATGCTGTGTCTTAGTGACCCTACACCATTGACCACTAGATGGCAGCCAAGGAAACAGCGTTCTCATTTTGAGAATTTCAGGGATGATAAACCTTCACCTTTATTGACGTTTTGCTTTAGGCTGGGTTCCTAAAGTGTTACAGGAATCCATGGATTGGGGGTACCAGCTCCATTTTCTATAATCTACTGCAGGCCTGTTAGTTTCTGAATAGAATAAAGAGATGATGAATATAAATATTCCTGTTTAAAGAGTTTTTCCTCCTGAAATTTGGAATTTATAAGACTTTGTACAGAAATGATACATGATTCGTGTAGTTCCAGGGCCACAATAATTAAAGCAAACCCACTGAACTTAATTAGCTGTCATTTAATAATGAATAGTATAAGATTTTGAAAAATCTGTTCATGCAGAGATTATTGTACTGTTTATGCAATCAGAACAGTCACATACATATTAAAGGTTGAGTTCGGGAGTTTAAGTGAAGCTCACTAACTAAAATAAAGGCAGGATAGAAAACAGCCTTCAAATAATCTTGATACGTTTTACGTATTTTGCAGATGGAAATGGAGTAGGGGACTTGTTTCCAATGTGAAATGAGAACTCCATGAGGAAAAATTTTCAGTGGAAATTCAGAAACCTCTGGCGTCCACACACTGGCACCCCTGAGCAGAAGGAAAATCAATCAGCTGGTTTTCCTCTTGAGGAACAAACTCACTAGCCTCTTAGAATCACAGAAACTGGACAGAGAAAGGAATGACTTCACTCACCGTGGGATCTGGACTCGTGTTAACATCCAGTAGTTCCTCCCTGGTTCTTAGGCCCTTGCTCTATGGTTCTCCAGTGTGTGGGGCACAGACCTGCAGGGCTCTGGAGACTGTGGATCATATTCTGCAGGCCTTAGGGCATTCATCTGTTTCAGCAAAGCGCATGCTCACAACTGCAGGGGATTTTTACGTAATGATGCTTAGTAAAGCACTTATCCTGGCATTATGTTCATCCTCCTGACACCTCTGAAAAGTACAGAACCATGAAGTGTTTTTGTTTTCGGATAAGCAAACTAATGCCAGAAGATTTGTAAAAACCAAAAACCAAAACCAACCAAACAAATAAGTCCCTACAACCAAACAAACCAGTTTCTTGTAGGCCTATAAAGAAAATTCTGAGCTATGAAAATTAAAAGAACAAATTTGATCCATCGAGGCGCACCTACATAGAACTACAAGGTTGTTGTGAAGTTATAAAGACACCCTGTGCACTTGTAATCACCACCAATGTGAGTATCACCAACGCCTTAGACATTATTCACCACCGAGTCTGGATCACCAAGGCTGGTCCCTTTGGTTTGTGAACACGGAGAGGACTGAGCTGGCGCGGTGGGTGATGGATCATGCCCTGGGGGCTATGTTCTGGTGCAGAGCAGTCCTGTTTTGTCACAGGCACGGCTAACTGGATCATGGGTTACTAAATAGTAGGGGAGGCTGGTTTGTGCCCAAAGCTGCTATCAGACTTAGGTGACAATTACACCTCGCCAGCCTGTCCCTAAATTCCAAGCAAGCCCCTAGGATCTGGGGTAACGACAGGAACTGTCCTGTGAAAAGAGGACGCAGGCGAACAATGAAAAGTAATCTTCTAGTCTTCTCGGAAAGGGGGCTCGGTATAGCTCAAAAAGTGTCTTCTTGAAGATAAGAACTAGGTCTCTGGCTTCTTTCCTGCTTCCCTGTACAGACCCATCCAGAAAACTTGAACCGAAGTAACTGCAAAGTAGCAACACTGTTTCTTCTGTCCTGGCAGCCTGTTTCCTCATCTCTTGTGCAACTGAGCTTTGCCAGTATGCGAGCCAATATGTGAGAACCTCCCTCCCAGCTCCGGATCCCCGGCCCCCGGTCAGGCTCAACTTCAGCCTCCACTTTCCATGTGCTGTCCAGTGTGGTTTCTGCTTCACCCTACGTCATCCAAAGCTCGGCGACACCCACCTCCAGGTGCACTTGGATACATCCTCGGCTTCCCTGTTCCGTGGCAGCTCGCCAAAACCGTGTTCATGACTACACATGATAGACACCCAACAGCTACTTATTAAGTGAAAAGATAGGTTGAATGATGAAGAAATGCCACATTAGTCTTTCTAATCCCTCCTGATCCCTCAGAGATACTCAGTTTCATCCTTCAACACTGAGCCCAAATGTGAACTATTAAGCCATAGGTACTTAAATAACTGTGAATGGTGATAAATTATTCTTCCTTTTAAGACGTTTGTGGAGGGACTTCCCTCTTGTTAAGCCTTTGAGGGAAAACATCATCATAGTGGCCAACTCTGGCAAGCAAAGCAAATATTTTTCTCAAAGTCACATTTATAGAGTCTTTTTCCCTTGAGATCAATGAGGGCATTTCTGATGCATCGAAAATACGGTGCCTCAAGTTTTGTAAAACAGTTTGGGTAGATACTTTGGTTCAGACTTTCTGCACTTGATCTTAGCCAAAAGGCCGAGAAGTGATTGGTTCAGATTTTCTGGATGGGTCTGTAAATATGTAGGCAGGTGTCACATGGCCTTTGGTAGGTTAAAAAGCAAGGTAACCTTGGAAGAGACCAAAAGGCAGCTGGGAGCAGCAAAGCTGGGCTGGGCAGGGGGTGAGGCAGGTGCTGCGGGCAGGGCCTGCTTCCCCAGGGGAGAGGGTCACACCAGAAAGTTCTGGCCTTGAGGACATGAGATGAAGAACAAGCAGAGCCTAACGCATGGGAACAGAGTGTCCTGTGCACTCAGGCTCTGGGCCCAATGTCACACGGAGGGCTCTGATCCTCAGGGAAGGGCCTGCGGAACTAGACAGAGTACTGAGCTGGGACCCAGAGTGAGTGGGGTCAGTGCAGGAGGTGAGCCGGGATTCAGGGACACTGTGGGAGCCCAGGGCTCAGGGGCTCAGGTCCAGGTGCAGCAAGGACAACGACTGAATCTGGCTGTGCCTGCCTAACCCGACTGCCTGACCCAGGAGAGCTGCCTGGGAGACGGAGGGTACCACGTCCTGCACGCATCATGCTACCATCTGGGGGTGGCAGGGGGTTGAAAGGAGGTAAAAATTCACTGTGCTTAGAAATGGGAACTCTCAGGTCAGACCTCCTTGATTTAAACCCCAGCTCTGCCTCTTTCCAGCTCTGTGTCTCTAAGCAAGTCACCTCTCCATGTGTGCCTCTGTTTCTTCATCTGCAAAAAGGGGATAATCAGCAGGTGCCTTGTTGTGTGGCTGTGAGGTAAACAGAGTCAGTGCCTGTGAAAATTTCATTCCATGAGGGTTCAAGGCTTTATCATTAGAAGATGCAGAGGCAGTTGTTTTATTTATTAAAGCAAACAACCTGGTTCAGAAGCCCGAGTCATACCTTGAGATCTAAAAGGTCATGGCTTGTAAAGTGGTTGAAGGGATGTGTATAGGTCTGACCTTTCACCAAAACACCTGTGAGCCCTCATTTCGCAGAAGAGGTGGAGCTCAGGGTGTTCCCACCAACACTGAGCGCTTTGTCCCTCCTCCTCTCGGCCTTCAACTGCCTCTAGATAGAATATTCATTCTTCCATTCTGCACTTCCCCCCCCAAACCACCCCAAATTCTTGGCCTGCCCAGCCCTCTGACCTCATGGAAACTCTCCTAGCTGAAAAGATGGCTTCTCCTCTTCCAGGCCAGCTCAGGAAGCCCCTTGTGACTCACCTGAGTGAGGTGATTACCCACAGCCCCCTGGTGCACATGTGGTCCTGCACCAGCAGCAGCAGCAGCAGCACCTGGGAGCGCCTCAGAAACGCAGAAGTTCAGGCCCCACCAGATCTTCTGAATCACAGCCTGCGTTTTACAAGACTTCTCCCCCCACTACAGTGATGCCTGCATATATTTAAGTCTGTGAACATTGTTCTGGAATCTATATCATATGTTATTACCAAGAGAGTGAACAGATTCAGGCAAAATAATAACTCAGTTCTGATTTCCCCAAATCTCTGTAAGAGAGGCTGAGCTTTCCAGAGAGTGAAAACTCACTCAGGGTTTGAGGTCCTGGAATGGTCAGGGTGCTGATAAACTCAGCCCCAAGGATGTGCTTACCAAAGACCTCCAGGTGCCCCATGGGCTCACACTCATTTCCTCAAATGCACCAGAACCATTGAGGAAAATGAACTTGTGGGTCCCTGGTTGGAGCTGACCCCTTAGCTTGTGCTGTCAAGTGGCTGGAGAGTCTGTTTTGAGGCACTGATAAGTCACGAAGGCAAACTGAGGACTGACCATTTCACTGAGCTTGCCCATGGTAGAAAGTGCAAGGAGATCCCTTAGCACATAGCCAGAGGAATTCAGAGGCCAAATTTCAGCTTGTTGGTTGAAATTCAGGCTACTAACAGGACAAGCCATCACACTAGATTGGTTTTCACACAAGAACTCGCAGCTCTCTGGGTCCTGCATGTGTCCTGGCAGTGGCTGGACTCAGCCAGTGGATGACAGCATCAGCCCCAGCTGTGTACATCACACTTACACCTCCCAGCCCAGCTCCTTACTTCTAACACAGACCATTCTTTGTCCAAGAGGCTTTATTTCTAGCTGTGGGAGCATACTCAGCCTGAGTACAGACAGCCCTCAACAAACCACAGGTCAGAACTGGTGGATAAATACCCCAGCTCCCGCCCCTCAGGTGGGATAACACTGAGGCATGTGTATACTGATGTCCAGCATTTCCGAGTAGGCCGTAGCTCCAGTTGTGTATTGTGGTAACTTGCTTCACAGCACACCCTTTACTTGCTGTCTCCCCTCCCTTGTCTTCATCCCCTGCTCATCTGCTGGTGCATCCTGGGGATCACTTCCCAAATAAATGACTTATCCTTACATCTAGGTCTCAGATCTGCTCCTGGGGAAATGAACAAAGACTAGAGCTACCAACCTGGGTCTGAATTTTGACTCTCACCATATGTCACCTTTGTGTCCTTAGGGAAGTCATTTAACCACTTTGAGGATGGGTTTTCTTTCAATCAGTGGGAATAATGAAGAGAAATATGAATCTGGATTTTGTTAAATTTAGATGAATTAATTATATAAAGATCTTGAAGTAGTGCTTGGCAACAGTGAATGCTGAAAGAACAATAGTTATGATCTCAATAGTGTTGTCCATTGGTATTCATGGGGGTAGCTTCCAGGAACCCGTTGTGGACATCAAATCTGTGGACGCTCAGATCCCTTGTACAAAATAACATAGTGTTTGCATATAACCTACACACATCCTCTCGTATACTTTAAATCATCTCTACATTACTTGTAATGACTAATGCAATGTAAATGCTGTGTCAGTATTTGCCAGCATGTGATGAATTAAGGTTTTGCTTTTTGTAAATTTCTAGAATTTTTTTCCAAGTATTTGGGATCTGTGGATGGTTGAATCTGGTGGATGCGGAACCTGCAAAAATGGAGAGCTGACTGCAATTGTCCGTATTTATTATCCAAGAACTAATCCTTGGGGATACATTCTGCTAGAAATGCACTTCTGAGTCCTCTACTTTTTCTTAGAGAGTACAGGCCTTGGGTGTTCTGATTTGGTTCCCTTTCAGAATTTTCCTTCTTTTAGTCTTTTCAGCTCCTCATTCTGATTTTCTGGGAAATATAGAAATGATGAATAGTTCAAATTTATTGGTTAAGGCTGTTCACATAGGATTCAAAGTTTGTTATGATGGTCTGAATAGTTTTAACTGAACTTTAGGTATATTTGCAAAGATCGAGAATTCTAATTTCTTTACAGTTGCTCTAAATATCAAACCAGTATCCTCTGGTACTGATCTATATCAAAATGGGACCTTTTCTACCCCGATGACAGGAGTGTATCCTTAATGTGTAAGCAGAGGACATAGGCGGAGCAAAGTCCAAGAAAGCAGAACAAGTGTAGTTGCATGAAATCCCATAATCCTGATATTTATGAACATTCCAGTTTAGGTGGCCATTCTTCGGAACCCATCTCACAAGTCACCTGAAGCTCCTGTCTGGGCTGGTTGCATCCTTCCTACACACACAAGAAGGCGACATTTTCTGCAGATCCTTCAAAAAATCTCCACATTATCATTCCAATCTGTATGAATGCACATTAGGAATTAACATATCATTTTCTACTGAGGTATTTAGTATGATCCTGGGAGTAGCAAAGCACAAAAGGGAGCCAGCAGTAACTGATGCCTTACATGTTATGACTCCAGTTCCTGGAGTCATATGCTCAGTCACAAGCTCAGTTCCAGGCATCACCACTGAGCAGCTATGATCCTGGACAGGTACTAAACAACCTGTGTAAGCCTGAATTTCCTCATCTATAAACTAGTACTTGTCTCATGGGGCTGTCCCTAGGGTTAAATAAGTACATAAAAGAAGGTCATTAGCTCAGCATCTGGCACAGGGTAAATTCTCAGTAAGTGCTAGTTGCTGGTATAGAATAACCACAGTTCACATTTATTATAAAGATATAGATAAGAACTATTATTGATTAGCTGGGGGTACAAAGAGAGAGCATGAGGAATAAGTTACTAAATATTTTAAGAGCTTTGTAAAACTAGAAGATAAAATGAAATTCTTGAATTGTAATTTCAATAAAAGTTTAAGGATGTAAAACTTTATTTGACAATAATTTCAAACCTAACATAAAATTTTCAAGAATAAGAACACTACAAAGAACACCCAGCTAAATTTTACCCAGATTCATCTACTAACACTTCATCCCACTTGCTTCATCACTGTATCTACCTATTGATCGATTGACCTATCTATCTATCTATCTATCTATCTATCTATCTATCTATCTATCTATCTATCTATCTATCTACTTATCCATCATCATCATCATCTCTATAGAACCTCCAAGGGAAGACTAGTATGAATGGTACAACTTGGGCTGAATTCCAAACAGTAATAAATACAGGATAAAGAAGGTGCAATACTGTGATTTATAATAAGAAATATATATTTTTGGTTTTCATCCACTCTTCCTGGTACATACCTTCTTAAAGTGATGACAGCTTTATTGTCTTTTGTTATATTAATGGGGTGACTTTTGGAAAGCACCTGAGGATGGAAGCTGGTTGCCAGGGGAACCAGCTCTATGATTGGAGGGTTGGAATTTTTAGTCCTACCTCCTAACCTCTGGGGAACAGTAGGAGGCTGGAAATTGAGTTCAATTACCAACAGCCAATGACTTAATCAATTGTGCCTATGTAATGAAATCTCTGTAAAACCCCAAAGGATGGGGTTCAGAGAGCTTCCAGGTTGATGAACACCAACATGGAGACTTAGGGAGAGAGCATGGAAGCGCCTGCATAATTTTCCACCTCCCTTGCCCTGTGCATCTCTTCCATCTGGCTATTGCTGAGTTATATCCTTTTATAATTAGCTGGTAATTCAGTAAGTTAGTTGGTTTCCTGAGTTCTCTGAGGTGTTCTGGCGAATTAATTGAACCCAAGGAGGGGGTTATGAGAACCTCTGATTTTTAGCTGGTCAGTCTGAAGCACAAGTGACAACCTGGAATTGCAATTGGCATCTGAAGTGGGGACAGTCTTGAGGGACTAAGCCTTTAACCTGTGGAGTCTAGTGCTATTTCCAGGTAGGTAGTGGCAGAAGTGAGTTGAATTACAGGACGCTCAGCTGGTGTTGTGGAATTGCTTGGTGGTGTGAGGTAACCCTCCACACATTGGAATTGGCTCCTAAATTATTAGACATTGTAAGAGAAATGCCGTGAGGTGAGCCAATCTTTACAATCCATAAAGAAAAGTCTTTTCCATCTGATGCTTTTCAAAGCTTTAACTTAACTCAAAGCCACTTATATCTCTATTTACATCTCCTCTGAACATATGGGAAGGATTCTAAATGCTTTGAGCAAAGGCGGTTCCTCCAAGGAACAACATGTCACAAAGCAGAGCTGCCCAGGCACCTTTCATTGCTTCTTGAAGTACATACATCTTAGCTCGTATACATGTCTCTGTCGCCCTATGTTAACTGGCCAAGGCTTCAAAGTTCTTCTCCAGTAGTTCAGCCCCACACTCAGGACACACCGAAAGTCTTGCTGTCTTTGCACACTCCAGATTAGTCTTCTGTATGAAACGTCCTTTCTCACATCCCTGATTAGAATTCTCTTAATCTTTCAAAGTCTATGGCAAATTCTATCCATTTCATGCAATCCCCAGAATGAAGTGACTTCTGCATTCTTCTGGCTCACCATAATGTTTTCTGTTATCCCTCAGTGACACCAGTGATGACAATGATGAGGGTAATAATAATTGTAGTAACACAGCAGGCACAATCAATTCAGTGGTTTCCATAACCATGCATGTGCTAAGTAATTAATAGTCCTCCTCCAACATACTATGACTCAGGCATCATAATTATCCTCATTTTTGGAATCAGTAAATAGAGATCCAAGAAAGTTAAGTAATTTGCCTAGGACCACATGCTAATAGTCTACAGAACAATGACACAAATGCTTGGGTCAAAGCCTAGTTTTTCTTTTTAAATGCCAAGTCAAAGGTTTTAAATTCATGTATGCTCTATGGTAATTACCATTTTAGGAAAATTTATTTACAAGGAAATGTACAGATCCTAAGTGTAGAATTCAATGAATTTTAATAAGAATATAAGCATCACCCCAGTCAAAATATCAAGTATTTTTCACTGCAAAAAGTTTTTCATGCCTTTTCTTACCAATTCATCCCATACAAAGAGAGGCAAGTATCGTTATGATTTATATCACCATAGATTAGTTTCATCTGTTTTTGAGTTTTCC